CATCCTGGCATCTCTTAGTCTTCGGTTTTAGCAGGACTGGCTGTTTTCCAATACATGATTCTCCTTCTAACACCAAGTAAATGAATCCTGTGGGAACACACCTACGAAAAGGACGTGGATGGGAAGCCTGCACCATCATCAAGTCATGCAACGTGTTTGAAAACAGTGTCCTGATGGTCTAGCTGGTTTGGACAGACCTGTCCAAGTTTCCCTGGCTTTGGACATGCGTGTGATGCTGGTTGCACAGTTGTTTCTTCTTCCACTCCTTCACATCATGCTTGTGCCCTGAATTCTGCCACAGGCTACCTCTTTTCCTCTTTGTCTCACTCCAGAAAAGAGGTACCTGATTCTCCTCCATCTTACAATGTTGTAAATCAGAAATCAAGCATCCCAGAGACTTCCTCTACTCCTCTGTGCTGCTGAGAGACCAGTCTGTAGAGTGGCAATATTTCCTGGCTTACTTCATGCCTTCTCTGCGACACTACCAGGCAGGAAGCTAATGATGGCTTTTGCCTGTACCTGTAACAGGCATGGGGCTGCAATTCTCACTAGTTATTTCAAACAATGCATGCTAATGACCAGCCATACGAAGGCACTAACCATTCACTGAGCCTACACAGGGCTCCCAAGAATGGGGTGTTAATCGAGACTGAGTAATTTAGGGTCACCTTAGTTCTAGAGAGGTCCTGAGCGTGGCAGGGCCCTGCACGCTGAAGACATTACATTACATGTGCATGAAATCCAGACATGCACCTGGAGAGGCGGATCTCACTGGCCATGCACAAGGGGCTGGTGAGCTGTGTGGCTAGAGACCAGCCCCAGGGCTCTGCTCCTCTTCAGTGTAACCCTGATCTCTAGATTGACTGAAGCATGAATTTTACTTTCAGAAGTGTTATCATTAATTGCGATGACTCTAGATATCTTTAATAACCACATGGCTTTATAATCCTTTATTAAACTTAGTCTTTGTCCTGCTAACGTCCTGCAGCAAGGAGCTCCACAACCTAATGACATATCACATGTAAATGCATGTCCTAATATCCATTATAAGTTGTCTTCCCTTCCAATTTCCTTGAAGGTCTTCATGTTCTCATATTAATGAGTTGGTGTCCCTAAAGTCTGGAGGGGACTTTGGTGGGAAGAGTAGTCTATTTTCAAACATTTCTATTGAATACCGAGCTAAGTCCAAACTAGCAGCCTGCAGGCAAAAGAGTCCACAGTCTGTTCTCTCTGATCCTCCTTAGCCAACCAATCCTATTTGCACTGGCTTCTCAAATCTCCATCTTTACAGCATTTTTCCCCAGAACAGAGAAAAAGAGAAACACAGACAGAAACTGACAGGTAAGAAAAGACGCATACACTCTCTAACCGACAATCTAACAAGCAATCCTTGAGACACACTGATTTCCAAATGATCTCAGTTTCATTTAAGAACACTTTTCTATTTATTTTCAGCACAGCTAGCACCAACTCTGAGCTCCTAAACCCTGCTGTACTGCTAAATCCTTGTGCCATGGGCAAATACTTTATCTGCTGATGTGAAGGGACTTTTCACCCATGCCTTTTCCTGCTGCTCTCCATGACTTGCTTTCAACTTGGATCCACACCAAGCACTGTGAAACATTTGTGAGAGCAGAGCTCTTCTTAGTTTCTTTCTCTTGCAGAACTTTGTCAGAGATCCAGGAAAGCAGACAAAATTCTGCAAACACTGAGCATTAACCATAACAGAAGAAAATACTCCAGCATCTTTCTTTCTCACTTTCTCCCCAGAGCTTTGCCGTTCTATCCAGGGTCTCAGAATTAGCTGACACAACGGTGCAGGACGCTCACTCAGTGAAACCTTTGCAAATGCCAAGCAAGCCCCCGAAAGGCAATGCCATTACCAAGCTCAGAGTTCAGCCCATCAGCTTTCACGACGTTAAGCCCTCATTTTCAATAAAAGCAGTTGCCTCTTTCAACTGCCAGACCTGAGCAGAGCTTGCTCTTCATGCCCTCAAAACGGGAGCCCAGATGCTGTGATCACCTGGCCACCAGATCCACTCTTTCTCATCTGCATCACTGGTTTCTCTTGAGTAACACACAAGGATCAGAACAGTTTTACAATAATGAGCTTTACTCCTTCCTACGGTCCTCAGCACATTATTAAATGAAAGAATCAGCTTACCCATAAGAGCCACAAACAAATATGAGGAGCTTAAGATATAAGCAATTTGGTAGCCTGAAGTATCATGCGTGTTGGGCAATCATAAATTTAAAGTGAAAATCCCTACTGATTTTGTTTTGCATTAGATATTAAATAAAACCTACTTGCAAAGCCAGATTAGTAAAAAAACCTTTTTGGCTGTTGCACTTTTTTTTTTTTTTTTAAATCAAAACAGGATTAAAACATCTTTTGGAGACTAGCTGTCATTTTATCTGGGTAAATAAGCTTAGAGCGCCTAACAGTCAATTTATAATGAAGGCTTTTGTTCTTGGTACTGTGATGCAGCCCTGCAAATTTGCCCACAGCTGCAGCAGTTTCAGATGTTTTTGACAGGTAAATAAAACACTGTTTATATCTGTCATTGTTATTAATCTGCACAGTAAAGAACTAGCAATTATATTTTGTTTCCAAGTGGATAAATTTTCATGATGATCTTGGCAGGGGTGGTATAGAATAATGTGCCTCTATGACTTTTATAGTTTTAAGGGGCCAAAACATGAAGGGTCCTCACTCAGCTGTTGAGTTGGAAAACAAATGGGAAATAAAGGCTAAACCAGTAATAACCACCATAATAAAAAAGAACAAGGAATTTGGGATCTAGCCCTGTTGGAGTTTTATTGACATAAAGGCCAAATAAACCAAACTGCAGGTCTTGACATCAGCTGCACTGATTCAGCTCTCAGTTATTCTGAACTGTACTTCTAGGAAGGTCTGTCAGGATCTGGCCATGCTTTAAAACCCCACAATTTGGGCCTCCATAATGACTTGTGCTTCCCAGCTGCTGCAAGGCAAAGGGTTTCAGACAGTCCTCAAGACATGCTGGTGAAGAAAAAATTATTTGCGGAATGGCTCAAGGACGAGTGGCAGAACCCAGCTGTAAGTGTCTTATTATATTGGTCAGAAACTGTGAGAAGCAAAAAAGAGAAATCCTGGTGAAATTCTATTAGATGCCAGTCACGTCTGCCCAGCTTCTCACTCAGGTAGGCTGGCAGATGGTCAGCAAATAGTCTCAGTTTTACAATGCAACTTACACAGGTTTTCAGTGTGAAAATTAGCATCCAATTATTTTCGAGCATTAATGTTCTCCAAGGAAGCGAGTTACCTCTATTTTAATTCTGCTTAGGCTCTATTTGCTCAGACACGTAAGCCAATCTTGCAGGCGCTATGTCTCATGTACACAGGCAGAACTGCAAGCCAGGGAAGAGTACTAGAAATGTGGAATAATGCAAATTCCCAGGGAGCGAGTTGCATGGCTCCCAACTTTTAGAAGAGACGGGGAGGAGACAGTCAAGTGAGGAAGGCATACAGCATCTCCAGAAAAGAATGATTCTCCCCGCCCCCCATCTGAAAGCCTATGGTGAAAATTGTGTCTCACAGCTACCACTCAGCTGCATAAATCATTAGAGAAGGCCACAGTCCATTGAGCACTGAGCTCTGATCTATGGGACCCCTGGTGTGACACATGCAGCAGGGCTGTGGACAGACGGATGAGGTGGTGGCAGGCCCTGCTTCTCCCAAAGGAGAATGGGAGCCTATTCCCCACCTCCCTGCCCCCATCACCACCATCCTCAGACCTCCATAAGGGAAGGCACGATCACTGCATTACAGATGTGGGCACTATCCTTGGGACAGGCAGGACGCGTGCCAGAGCGTGGCCACTCTCAGACGAGCACTGGCTTTCCTTAGCTGAGCACACAGGCCCACGCAGGGGAAAGAAGACATGGGGCAAAACCTGTTTTGCTCAAGATTTCAACGCATCACCTTACGTGCCAGGATCTGTGCCTAAAATGGAAATCGGTACCAGCCAAGTCGAACCTCACAACCCTTTCTTGTGCAAGGATCCCTTATTATCACAGGTAACAGGACTATCCTGAGTACTAAAGGTTATCTGCATATCTGGGCTTGATCCCACAAGCAGAAGTCTGCAGCCTTCCTTGCCGCCTGCAGCCGTGTCACGTTAGGTACAAATATTGCTGTGTATATTACTGTAAGGAAGTTGCCAGCCTGAAAATACATGAACTGCTTTTAATTGTCATTAAATAGGGAGAATAATGCCCCAGGGTGGCACCTCATGTTCTAGTGAGGTTGCATTTGTTTCATTGTCCTGTGTAGTGGAGGGAAACTTCACTGGCTCAACCTCAGTCTGTACCAAGGAGCATCTCAAGGCTGCAGCTTCAGCAGGTACAATTGTAACCAGAGGTTTTCCTCCTCTAGGTAGTGCACTGGGAGCATAGGAGCAACGGCAAACCCACAGAGCTCCTACTAGCCGTCCCTTGGGAACCACTGATGAGCTGGGGCTGCCTCCTGCCACGTGTATATACAGACTGAAGTTGTATTTTTAAGAGCAAACAGCACATTAAACACGTCCTTTGCATCACTTCTGGCATCATCGTAACTGGGTACCAACAAGGCGACAAAAAGCCCCCCCATGCCGAGATGGGCTCTGCTCCATGAAGGAGTCCGTGAGTCCCTGCCATGCCACAGCTGCACGGCTCTGAGGCTGGGCATGAGTGCCCGGGGCAAGGCTGCTGGGCAGCAGAGAGGGAAGAAGTGGGCCTCCGCCCCACATTTCTCTGGGAAACACCGCCGAGGAGCAGAATCCTGGAGCCCAGGGCCTGGGCAGAGGACAGAGCCCCTCTGGGTCTGGGGTCCTGTTCCGCGCAGCGGGGAGACCCCTGTGAGCAGCAGGCCCCAGCTGCTGCAGGCTGAAGCATCGCTACCACCGGGGGAGCCGGCCTCCCGCCGCCACCCGCCGTCGCTCCCCTGCCCCAGCGCCCACCGCCCTCGGCGGGCTCACCTGCTCGGGCCCCTGGAAGCAGATCCTGCAGAGCGGGGTGCGGATGCCGCTGTCGACGCTGCTGCCCAACGAGTAGCGGTCCTCGGCCTTGCCCTTGCCGAAGTCATCCGAGGAGGTGCTGCTGGGCAGGGAGGCGGGCGGCTCCCCGGCGGGGCTGCCCCA